TAGGTCTAGGCTAGAGTAGGAAGTCTATAATTCAGGTAGGGAAACGGATTCGGGACTTTTGGCTTTTCATTTTCGCATGGCAGCGTTTGTGGCCAACCAAGTTTCGCAGCGCTGGAARTCTACAGCGGCACCTRAGACTTCAGCTTGTGTGGACAGCCATAGCCGGCCTCCCTGAGACAGCCATAGCTGGAGCTGTTCTCAGCGCATCTACYCTWTGGGGGTATCTGCGSWTKGGCGGCTATTCAGAGGCTCTTCGCTRAGTACATGTGGGCGCTGCTGCTACRGTAGCAGCCTGGCAGCCATAGCTGCCTTCTTCCTCATCAGAGTGACTCATCGGCACTRAGGACTACATCGCTGTTCCTGATCTTCATCTGGGTGTATGGCGCTGGMCTCTGGGAGGCTGTTTCAGTGCAGCGCTAGACTCTGAGAGTGAAGTAGTGGGTGGAGTGTGTGGTACTGGGGTGGCGAGACATTGGGTTGAACTCTGTAACGGTAATGGGGGAATTGAGTTGAGTTGGCTCATCATCTGTGTCTTATTCCAATTGTGATCTTCGCAGTGTCATCCTGTGATTGGTTGTTGGGAGTGTATCGGAGAGAGAGAAACACTGTGTGTATTCTCCCCGTCTGTGCATGGTTGTTATTCCGCTGCTTATCTCTGGTCTGTGTGCAGTTGGACTTTGTCTCCTCTTCCCCTTTGTCTCATGCATGTATGGGCGTGTGTGAGTTCTTCTGTGTGTGAGTGACAAACAAATTGTCAGACAACCAAGTTCATAACAGTTGGTATCGGAGCGGAGATTGGACTTGGAGCACTGAGGGTTGAGCGCAACAGGGGCATCCTCTTCTTCTGGCCCTAACTGGCGAGAAGTTTCATGGCGGCTCTGTATCTTCAGTGAAGATCCAGTAGAGAAGAGGACATACAAGCGGTGATTGCAAAGCATGAGTGGGCGATTGATCAGGCACCCTGAGCCTGTCTGAGTGCCTGACAGGAATTGGTGAGAACAGGGGTATTTCGCCATCCACCCTTCTGACCTCAGTTGGTGATTGGGATCAGGGTGGCGAATTACACCCTAATCCAGTGATAACTGTGTGGCGGCATCAATCCCAGTATAGCGCCGAGGGAGGATTGATCACAGGATCAATCTCCTTTTGAATTAACCCTATTCAGGGCTAAATTTAGCACCAGCGGCTTATCCTTGCAGTGGCGAGATATCTTCAGGAGAGTTTCCCCTCGTCACTGAGTCAGATTCAGTGAATCTGAGAGATGGGGCTGAATCGCCACATCATACTGGACAAGCTCAATAAGTTATAGGAGATTCTACGCGAGGAAGTCAGTGGAAGAGAGTCTGCAAGCAAGTGGCGAGACTAGGGTCAAGTAGCCATAGCCAGAGCTTCATCATCCACTGAGTCAAACACTGCAAGTGAGTGTGTTCCGTGTGAATCCATGTGTAGCGATTAGTCTAGACTCTGTAGAATCTGAATTGATGGTCTGTCTGTCAGTAGGGTCTCTATTTTGCAATTGTCAGACTGCAAGACAGCCATAGCCATCTTCTTCCTCCCTACCCTGACTCATATCTCACCATCTATTGACCTGTTCTAACTCAAAATTGTTCTGGGATTGCATGACAGCATTGCGCTGCACCCTGTATGATCATTCTGTGAGTTCTGTACAGAAAAGTAGTAATACTGTGGATTTGAGTTTTGCGCTGAGTCTATTTATAGCCTGTCCTATCTAGGGTCAGTCACAAGTCAAAATTTGTCCGTCAGAATTCAAGTCTGTCAGTCAGGGGTGAATCGCAATTCAGTTTCTGTCATCTGTGCTGAAGCGCTAGTTTAGAATTAGTGTATCTGAGTCATTACAATGAAATACAGAAAATCGCAATACCTGTGGGTATTTCTGTTGATGTCAACAGTGGCGAAATTTGAGTTAAGGGCTGTTAGGGTCTAAACTATTGCATCGCTACTACTTGTTGCTTTGTTTCAGTCAGTTCTTGCCTGTATCTATCACTACCACTAATCATCTTTGTTTTTGATGGGCTCCGAAATGTTAGTGACGCTTGGAATGCACTGAAAGTGTTGATTTCAACTTCAGTGAAGGTGCAGTTTCACGAATAGGTAATCCTGAGTGAATGATTTTACTGGACATCCAGTCTGCCTGACTACTGACCCCAGTGGTTGTATTCTAACCCTAACCGCTTTTGCCTACTAACCCATCTTACCCTGTGAATTGACAGGGCAGCGATTTCTGAGAGTCTGAGTGGATTGTAAATCGCTGCGTCTCTTGCTATCTAACCTTGTTGTTTATTGTTTATGAAAGGGAAGATGTCTAACGCGGCTGACTCAAGTGAGGGAAAGGTGGAAGTAGTAGTCAAGGAGGAAGAGAAATCTTCCCCCTGAACTCCTACCCCTCCTCCTCTCATCCCTGCTCAGCGGCGCAAGAGAGAGATTGAGGCCAAACTGCAAGAGCAATAGGCGCTGCTCGCAGAAGCTGAGAGACAGGAGGCAGCCGAATTGGAGGCTGCAACAGATGCCTCCCGCAAGGAGTTTCTGCTGCAGCAAGCCGAGAAGACTGTTTCTGATGAGAGGGTAGCCCAGTGTACTAGGTACTTGGCTGAGCTGGTGATTCTGCAAAACAAAATCACAGCCAGCCACTTTACTAACTGGGATGATCGAATACAGCGTCTGGAAACCAGAGTAGGCGACCTGGGAACTCAGTAGTCCAAGATCCTGGATGCTATCCAGAATCTGATTGCTTAGTTAACAGCAGCCAACCTGATCACCCCTCTGGTACCTGTGGTCCCCTCTCCAAAACCCAAAAGGCCTTCTCAGCCTCCTTCACCCCTTGGATCGCCTCACTTCTCTCACAAGTCATCTCCCTCTGTCTCCTCCTAGGCTAAAGCCAAACCTCCTCCCACTTTCGCTACTATAGTTGCTGGGGATCAGCGAGGACCCAAGATCCCTGCACCCAACAAATTCAAGGTCGATGACCCAGAAATTGATGTTGGGGACTAGGTAGCAGGAACCCGGGCTTACTTGAAGGGGTTCCAGTGCCCGGAACAGCAGAAAGTGGCCACCGTTGTGGGGATGCTGGAGGGCCCAGCCCAGAAATGGGCTACATCTACAGCTAGTGCCAAGTCACAGACTTTAGAGGACTGGGCCCAAGCCCTGGGAGTGGACAAACTTTTGCAGGCCAAGGAGGACAGGTTTGTAGACAAGGAGCGTGCACGTAAGGATGCTGACAAGATCGTACGCCTTGGACAGCAGCGCTACAGTGGCAGTCTGCAGGCCCTCTTTGCTGAGTTTGAGCAGCTAACCTCCACCCCTGGCTTGGTTATGTCTACTGATGATTTGCTAACTAACTTTTGCAGGGCTGCCCCTGAAAAGTTTTCTGTTGCATTGTACAACGCAGGGCATAAAGACTAGAGATCTTTTGGCCGCGCAGCACTGGATATGGAGGCCAAGCTCCATGTCCAGGCCCCTGATAGGAAAGAGGCGCTTTCCCTCGTGGTGGTAGAAGGGGAAAAGCGGCCTTTGCACATGTAGGATATGCGTCATCTTCTGATGCAGGATCCAGGCCTGGTACACCGCCAGGTGGGACTGCATCAACTGCTGTCACAGATGTTGCAGCGGCCATGCAGCAACTGCAGGCTGTGCTGGGGGCCTTCCAAAAGTCGGGTCTTCCTCCAGCACAGCCTCCAGCAGCAAGGGGAAGAGCCAGGGACGTCGCTCTTCAACCCCTGCCCGGTGCCCTAACTTGCCACGTGACGTCCGCTTCCCAACAGACCCTCGGAATCCCAACACCCTTCCCTGGCATGATCTAAAAATTCAGGAAGGGGTGTGGAGAAAGAGGAAGGAGAGGGGAGTTTGTTTGAGGTGTGAGGGACAACATTTTTTGAAGGACTGTCCCTACATACCCAGTCCAGCTCAGTCCAAAAACTGAAGCTGACCCTGGAGACTGCAGTTCCCTCCAGTGCTGCACCTGCATCTGCATCTGCAGCAGCTTCAGTTGAGACATCTGTCCCTCCCAGTGTGGGGACTGCACGGGCAGCATCCTTCAGTTATGAGGATCCTCACCTGGATCAGGAACCAGATCAGTCTGAGTGTCAATCACTTGGTGCTTTTTTCTTTCATCTGAAAGAACAAAAGAAAAGCAAGTCTGACCTCATATTCCTTCGGCCCCTGATCAATCACAGCAGAATCAAAGGGCTGCTGGACTGTGGAGCCACCCGAAATTTCATGTCTCCCAGTGCAGCCAAAAAACTGCATCTGGGCATGAAAGTGGTGCAACTGCAGCAACCGCTGCAGGTCACGATAGGTGACTCCACTGTACTAACTATCAGGGAGAAGGTCAGGGGCATCCCTATTACCTTCGACAGTGCTGGAGAAGTCAGACATAGTCTGAACTTGTACATATTCCCTGATCTACCCTTTGACCTGGTTTTCTCTATGTAGTGGCTGAAAGTAGTCAACCCAAGGATCGACTAGCGGATCCCCAAGGTTGAGCTGCCGAACAGCAAGGGGGTGTATCAGCCATGCATGATTGCTGCTGAACACCACCCTAAGACCTCATGCTTCTGCCTGAGAGCGAGAGAGTTCTATGCTCTCTCACGCCAGTATGACCACAAGCATCTGTTTATAGCTCTGGTCAAGCAGATAGAGCCCCCACTGTTTCCTGTCCTCCTGAGATACAGCAGGTGGTTGACCAATATGCGGATCTGATGCAGGAGTCCTTTGGGTTACCCAACCGGCCAACCAAGCATCACATTGAGCTGCTGCCTGGAGCGGTCCCTCCCAAGGGCCACATCTATAGGATGTCCCCTGCTCAGCTTGAGGAGCTCAGACGACAGCTTGAGACCCTGACCAGAAAAGGCTGGATCAGGCCCAACACTTTTGAATTCGGCGCTCCAGTCCTCTTTGTCCCAAAAGGGAGTGGCGAGTTCAGAATGTGCATCGACTACAGGGGTCTCAACAAGATCACTAGGAAGAGTACAGAGCCACTTCCTAGGATCGATGACCTTCTGGACATGGTCCAGGGATGCACCCTTTTCAGCAAAGTCGACCTCAAGTTTTGTTATCACCAGATTGAGATGGCAGAGGAGGATGTCCACAAGACAACCTTCAAAACCAGATATGGTACTTATGAGTATCTGGTTATGCCATTTGGACTCTGCAATGCACCTGGCACGTTCGAGACAGAGATGCACCGCATCTTCACAAGCCTTACCTGGAAAAGTTTATGGTTGTCTACCTGGATGATATCCTGGTATTCAGCAAAACTACCAGGGAACATGCGGAGCACCTGGCTCTGGTTCTTCAGTCATTACGTGACAGCCAATATAAGATCAACAAAGAGAAGTCCTCTTTTGGAGTTCCCTCTGTGATCTACCTGGGTCATGTAATCTTTGGAGAAGGTCTGGCCCCYGAAGCARCCAAAATTGCTGGTATTCAGRACTGGCCACAGCCCCAGAYAGTGAGAGATGTCTGGTCTTTCTTGGGTCTGGCCTCATACTACAGAAAGTTCGTCAGGAACTTTTCTACAGTGGCTGCACCCCTGACTAACCTTAAAAAGAAAGACACTCCCTTTCTTTGGTCTCTTCACTGCCAGATGACCTTTGCACGACTCAAACAGGCCTTGACTCGTGCCCCTGTTCTGAAGCTACCTGACCCCACTTTGCCATTTGTCCTGACCACTGACGCCATTCAGTATGGCATTGGGGCAGTACTTCAGCAGGATGATGGGAATGGTCTGAGACCTGTCGAGTTCATGA